TCTATCTATCTATCTATCTATCTATCTATCTATCTATCTATCTATCTATCTATCTATCCATCCATCCACACACATACATACATACACATTGATTCCTATATATACAGTATATACACCCAGATATTCACACACGTGCATATTCACACGTACACTTATGCCCCATTCATGTGTGCATGTATGTGTGTATACACTATGTGTATTTTTATATATGTATATGTATGTATGTACATACAGATACATACACACACACACACACACACACACACAAGCATATACACATTCATGTAGGTATATCCACACACAGGTACATCCACATTCATGCGCACACATACACGTGTACATAGTCACACACATGCAGATTTACGCACAGATATGTATAATTGTGTGTCTCTTTATATGTGCATACACAAACCCGCTAAAGCACACACGCGCGCATTCCCCACGTACATATTTATATGCAAACACACGGGCAAAACTTTGGCAGCACAGAAGAAGGCTTTGCCTGATAGCTTTCCCCCATCCTTGGGAGGAGGAGACGGGAGGGCTTCTCTTGAGAAAAACCTCCCTTGCAACTCGCAGAAATTTCCCCCTAAGTCCCCCTTGTCCTCATCCCAGGGGCCAGCCTGCTCTTGTGGGCCCCCCGCCCCCCGAAAGATGGTCATCTTCCCCACTGCCACCGCCTTGTGCAGGCTGAACACAACCACAAAGGAGCTTTCCCCGGAGGGAAGGAGGGCGCCCAGCCCCCTTGGTCTCGTAGTTGGGACCAATGGTGGAGAGGAAGTGAGCGAGTGGAGGGAAGGTAGTTTCTTCCCCAAACCCCAAAAACTTTAACCTTAGACTGTCTACTATTGACCTCACCCCTTTCCTAAGAGGTCTGTAGGGGGCGTGCATAAGCGCACCAACGTGCCTACCGTCCCTGTCCTATTGTTTCTCTTATTCTTCTTTTATTTTTCTTATATGTACCCATTTCATGTATTCACAACTATGTATACACTTATACTTATTATCTTGTAAACAATTGGCAAATCAAATAAATAAAATAAATAAATAAGGTCCCCGCTGACCTTTCGTTGGAGCCCAAGTTCATCTCTTAATCCCTCTGGAAATTCCAGAGTACGGAGGTGACCGCTCGGCCTCCTTTCCTCCCTCTTCCTTTGCTTGGCAACGCACATTCCAGGCAATTTAAATTCCTCCCACTCTGCAAACCCAGTTCCATAAAGGGGAGGGTAGCTAGGTGGGGGGGGGGAAGAGATCAGTCCTCCCTTCCGTTCTCTTCCCACATTCCACCGGTCCGTCCAGTCCTCCTCCGTCCCAGGCTTGGCTCCACAGGCGTGGCTAGTTTCTTCCTTCTCTTCTGGCTTCTCCAGAGCCCTCTCTTCTCCAGGCCAGGGAGGTCTTGACATTGAGACACACACACACACACCCACCTCTGCCTGCTTTTTCAGATTAAGATGCTGAGGGATCGCAAGCAAGACCTGGAGCGCCGTCTCAGCGTCATGATGGAGGAGAACAACCTTCTCCAGGGGACGGTGGAGGAACTTCAAGACCGTGTCTTAATTTTGGAACGGCAAAGCCATGAAAAAGACATGCAGGTAGGCACGGAAGCCGAGGGCCCAGAAATGCAGGAGGAGGAGGAGGAGGAGGCCAAGAAGGTGGGCTTTGTCTCAGGAATTCTTAGGAATTTTGGAGGTCCGTCTCAGCCCTGCAATGGGACCCAAGAATCAAGGGAGAGAGTTTGGGACACAGGCGTCATTTTTCCTCCTGTAACACCTAAGAAAAGTAAAGTAAAGTACACTAAAATTGTAAGTGCTTCATCACTGGAGGCTTTTAAGAAGAAACTGGAAAGCCTCTTGTCTGAAATGGTATAGGGCCTCCTGCTTGAGCAAGGGGCTGGACTAGAAGACCTCCAAGGTCCCTTCCAACTCTGTTATTCTATTCTATTCTATTCTATTCTATTCTATTCTATTCTATTCTATTCTATTCTATTCTATTCTATTCTATTCTACCCTACTCTACTCTACTCTACTCTACTCTATTTCTATTCTACTCTACTCTACTCTACTCTACTCTACTCTACTCTACTCTACTCTACTCTATTTCTATTCTACTCTACTCTACGCCTCAGCCTCCTTCTGCTTCTGTTGTTCTGTTCTCTTCTGTCATATCTCCCCTCTTCCAATCCATGAAAACCCACTAGAGATTTCTGAATCACTGCAAGTAATGCAAGCCGATCCTTCTAGATCCTGGATCTAAGGTCTTATGGATTTTCCTCGTTGAATGGCAGAATTTCCTTCAACCCAGGACCACAGGATTATTATCTCCTACTAAAAGGAGGAAGGTCCACCCCAAGACCCCAAATTTGTTGTCAAACTAACTTTCCATGTGATGTAGTAGGTTGATGGGTGGATATCCTTGGAATTGAGTTGAATTCGTGTAGTGTGACCCATTCAATGTAAGATTGCCTTGAGGTTCTGGTTCCAGCTGCTACATTGTCCTGGCCCTTTTCCTGAATCATTCCTTGGAGGTGCCCCTCAACAGCTATTCTAGACCAAGCTGAGTTGGTTTCAATCATTGGAGACCTTGGATAATTCTATCTATCTATCTATCTATCTATCTATCTATCTATCTATCTATCT